TAACAAAAACGATAGCAAAATCGATAAAAATATCTATAAAATTACCTATAACAAAATCGATAAAAATATCGATAGCAAAATCGATAACAAAATCGATAAATATGGATAACAAAATCGATAAATATCGATAACGAAATCGATAAATATCGACGACAAAATCGATAAATATCGGTAACAAAATCGACAAATGTCCATAACAAAATCGATAAATATGAATAACAAAATAAATAAATATCGATAACAAAATCGACAAAAAATCGATAAATATTAATAGAAAAATCGATAAATATCGATAACAAAATCGAGTTATATCGGTAACAAAATCGATAAATATCGATAAAAAATATCGATAACAAAGTAGTTAAAAATATCGATTACAAAATCGATAACAAATCGATAGAAATATCGATAACAAAATCGATCAAAATATGGATTATTATATCGATAAGTCCCGAAAATATCGATAGCAAAATTGATAATACCGATAAAAATTTCGATATCAAAATCGATAAAAATATGGATAACAAAACCGATAACAATATCGATTATTTTATAGATGTCTCGAGAATCCCAAAGATCTCTAAAATCCCAAAATAGTTCCCAGATTGAGTCCCCGTGTCTCTCTCTATATCCTTTCCTCTTTAATTAACTTAATTTTAATATTTTAATCTTTCTTCCCCTATCTTCATCTTTACTTTTATCGGTGTCCTCATCCTCATCTTTGTTTTTACTTTTATGTTTATCACTGTCTTCATCAACATATTCCCCTTCACCTTTGCCCTTATATATATAAGTAAAGTGTTTAAATTTACCTTGGTCTTCGTTTTTACCTTTATCTTTACACATCTTTGTTTTTGTTTTTATTTTTACCTTTGCCTTTATAATTTTCTTTATCTATGCACGTACTCACCTTTACTTTCATTCTTGTATTGGTATTTCTAAGTGTTATCCTCTAACCTTTTATTAGCAAGTTTTTGTTAAATTCATACCATAAGCATACACACAAGAAGTACTTGTTTCAGCCCCAACCATTTCCGTTGCACCATTTCCGTTGCATACACACAAGAAGTACTTGTTTCAGACCCAAGCATTTCCGTTGCATCATTTCCGTTGCACCATTTCCGTGTGCAATTTCCGCTGAACTTGTCAATTTACTCCCAACCAACCAACCGCCGCTAAAGAAGTTTCACTTCAAAAACAAAACTGCCTGAAACTACATTAGTCATATATATGTACATTTGAATTCCTTCTCTCTAACTGAAATTGATGTACATATGTATGTATGTCAATTAAGCACTTTTATTGCTTAATTTCTCAGAAGTAGTTTCCGTTTTACATCCATACGTATATATATGTATGTATGTGGTAATTACACATGGTTTTGTATTGAAAACAAACAAAATATTAGTGTTATTCATCTAAACCGATAACTTTATCAAGCAGATAAAATTATAAGTTTACGCACTCTGTGACATGAACGACCCACACTCTCTTTCCGTTTACACATGCGACAATAGTCGTGTTTTCTTTGTTTATAGAGCTCAGTATCACTAACTTTATACTAGAAGCACGAGGATAAAGAAATTATATAAACTAACTCACTAAATGGGAAAAAATTATATTTACGAGATAATATCTATTTAAATAAATATACATATATCATATAGGCTATTTATTTGAAGCAAGTTAAAAGAAACAATGGCAGAATGTCTGTTTGTGTATGAATTCTTTTGTCACGACTACCAAACTTTGCGGCCAAATTATCAGTGAAACAAAACAAACAGAACGGATAATAATTGAACCAGACCTCTATCAGGATCCCATCGTTGTTATCGAATTTTCGTGCAAAATTTTTATGCGGATCCCGATTATTGCCCAAGAAAACATAGCTAGAGTTGCGACAGAGTTACATTGACTACAGTTTATCAAGTTTATTCAGTGAAATCGCTGGAGAAATTTATCAGAAATGTGTAAACGAGTTTCCATACAAATTTTGACAGTTCATTTATATGCTTTACACAATTATAAGTTTATACGGTTTACAATGCATTTATAAGGTTTGATGAATACCCTTATTATACATACAATGGGCAAACAAACACTTATTTAAAAGTTGGTTTGTGGTTAGCACTGTTGCCACTGTGTGAGTAATTCCTCAAAACGTGAGGAGTTTCGGGTGCGCTTTAGTATTTTTTGAGGATTTTTATTTTGAGGAATTTTCTCTTAACCATGTTTTACACAAGAGAGTTGTTAAATCGCTCTGCAGATTTTTGAACAAAGAGCTTTTCGAAGTTTTATAAAGAGCGAAATACACCACACAAGCAGCTTGTCAAACATTCTTCAATCCTACTTTTCCCATTTCGCCATACACCATGCAAACATGACTCGTTTAAGCAAAGAATTTCTTCTGGCTTGGTGTAAAAGGGTTTAGTTTTCTTCGATTTTTCTCTCTTGCATCCTCATTCGGTAAAAATTTCGTTGTGAATGAGGCGATTTTATCATACACAACGTAAGCAGTTTGATCAAGCGTCAACATGGCGGCCAGAAAATTAAGAATTTTTGATTTTCGCTCATATTTCCCTCAAACGGCTGGTCAAACCTTCAAACAGCCCCATACACAACATAAATAGCGTGAAGGAAAGGTGTATTTCGCTTGGTTTGTCAAGCCGCTTATGTGGTGTTTTTCGCTCTTAAGAACATCTGCTAAATATTCAAAATGTTATCGATAATTTTTTTTCATTCCATCGTTATATTTTCAACTTATTTTGAGTTTGCAAAATCTCAGTAACGATTGCAGAGAACACGCATTGTTCGATCATAAGGATATTCATATTGATTATTCATTAAATCCAGACAAATAATGGAAAAAGCTTTTGATTTAAAAATTCTTCATATAAGTTTCCCAATGAAAAAAATATGTATCTGCACTACTAATATAGCCCTTTTCTATTGCTTCAGTAGAACATATATTTGGTAGTTTAAAAATGTGTAGGACTGACTTGAAGACCAGATTGAGCACTGATATAGTTGCAGCAATATCATATACAAACCAACTCATAAAAAATAACGGTGATACTTTGTTTGAACCGCAAGAACAAATGTACCAATTGAATTGGAGAATGTAATTAATTTTTACCTGTAAATAGCATACAGTTTACAATACTCATATCTGTAATAAGAACATTTTGAGTAATTTGTTCGGAATTTAAGGATTTTTCATTTGTTTTTGAGGAATTTGGTAATTTTTTTGTGGCAACACTGGTGGTTAGCGACATACATACATATTTATTTTAAAAGGGTGGCTCAAATTCACTAACAACATAACAATTAAATGGTTCAAAATTTCGTATATGTTGATGGTACTATTAAAGCTAAGCTTTGGCAGTATAAAGTTATGTTCACAAAAATATCAGCGCTTTACCTGTATAGAAAAACCTCGAATAACTTGTGTAGTTTGTGTCAATTAAATACAGTTGAAGTTCAAGTTGCTCAGCACTGTATATATTCAACTATTTATTAAAATATAAATTAAAATAAAGGTAGCAATTCCAGTTGTGAGTCGTTCATTTAATACTTTGTAGCATGTCCAGCGTTTTTGATAACTGCGTGACATCTGCGTTGCATGGAGTCAACCAACTTTTGACACCTTTCAGTGGGTATAGCATACCAGGTCTCTCACTATTTTTTCCAAAATCCGCGTTGTTTTTAGGGCTAGCTGCTCTTACTGCGTTCTTGACATCACCGCACAGATTTTCGATGGGATTTAGCTCCGGCGATTGTGCCGGCCACTCCATTACCTGCGCCTGTTTCATTATTTTAATGAGAACTACCCTATAAACATATACATACACACTCCATATTCAGGTTGTTGTAACAAAAATCCGCCAGTATTTAAGGTGAACATGCGAGTTTTCTTATTTATAAAGGTAAAACTGTGTTTAAAATTTAAGCGCATATCACTTAATGGAAAACTATTTTTTCATCACATTTGTTCTGAACATTTTTTATGATTTTTTTATTGATGGCTTATATTATAGAAATCAAAAGGAAATTAATTTATTTGTTCGGCTGTTAGTACTTATAAGAGCATTTAACAAGTTAATTACCAGCGAAACTAATAGTACACATACAGTCGTTTCGATTGCCTATGCTATAAAAGCGGGATATTTTCGACAGCAATTGCAGTTAGTAAACGTTGACGATATAACGCAGTACACGTTCGTCACTTAAGTCTTTTGTTTCGTTTGCACATACTATAGCCGAAGTAAGTGAACACTACTACGTAGATAAAAACAATGTAAATTTTTTACAATGAGATCTAGTTCAAGGTTGTGTTGTATTTAGCAAATATTGCTTTGCTTGTTAATTGAATGACTCATAAACAACGTTATTAGGATAACAAATTGGAAAATAGTGTTGGTGCTATTTGCTGAAAACTCGGCCGCCGTGCGTGAATAGCCCTGCCCTAAGCCATAAGCTGAAAAAATTATAATATCGTCGTTTAAAGTACAAAACCGCTTATCGTCATTCTGCAAAACCGCGTAATTGACATTTGCTGCCAAAAATTGGATTTGCTCACACAAGCTCTTGGCTCAATCCTTACCTATTCGTCCTGAAATATAGTAGCCAGCTTTATAAAAAAGAGAACCATTTTGAGATACGAGTGTTTTTATTCTCTAGAAAATAATATATGCAACCTCGCATACGCGGCTTTGCATTATCCCTGATACGCGGTTTTGCATTTTGTTTATATTCGGTTTTGTACTTTAATCGGCGAGTATCAGTAGCTACTTGGCAACTATAATTTCGCCGAAAATTACATAGTTTTTAAGAGTTTAAATAAAAACCATCCACCGTTTGCCGCGGCATACTAAATCAAAGGTCTAACTATTTTTTGAATAGAATTGCGATTGAATACAAAGTTCAGTAATAGTTTTTTCTGCAATATTAATACTGTTGCACACTTTTTTCATGATCATGTGTTTTAAAAAGTTGCATACTTATTGCGTCCAGTTTGAACTTTTGACTACATGCACATACATACATATGTACACACAAGTTTACTCAGATTTTATTTTTGACTTTTAATTGCAGGTTTTACAGATAAAATGAAACTACTCATCATACTATCCGGTATTTTAGCTTTTGCCGCACTCGCTGTTGCCGAAGAGAAATACACAACTAAGTATGATAACATTGATGTCGATGAGATTTTAAAGTCGGATCGTTTATTCAACAACTACTTCAAATGTCTTATTGAAACTGGCAAGTGTACGCCAGAAGGGCGAGAGTTAAAAAAGACTCTTCCCGATGCACTCAAAACTGAGTGTAGCAAATGCAGTGAAAAGCAGAAGCAAAACACAGATAAAGTTATTCGTTACATCATTGATAACAAGTCTGAAGAATGGGCACAGCTACAAGCTAAATATGACCCTGAAGGTATATATGCGTCAAAATATAAGAAAGAGGCAGAGAAACAGGGAATTAAAATTTAAATTGCCTTCACAGTTTTCAATACACGACTAACACAAATTGTAAATAGTATTGTCAATATGTCTTCGTGAATATTGCACATGTCTGTGCGCACAATAAACATTTGTACATAAATAAATAACATTTTGGTGGATAAACATATTAACGTGCGTACTATGGTAGTATTTAACTTAATAATATGTTGAATGGAAAATTACTCATTAAGGGTATTGCCGTGAAGGCAGTAAAATTACTCGTGTGGAAAATAAATCAAAGTATCATACTGTACTTATAGCGTACCAGCTTAAAATCTATAATTGAATTCCTTTCACGAATGCATATTAAATAGAATTACTCGTATTTAGTTGAAATTACATGTTTAAATAAGTAATCTAATTAGAAAATACAAATCTACACTTGTAAGCGCATATACAGGTGCGCCGAGAGGGAGTGGGGGGGTCGGGGGTGTTCCCCCCAGGGCACAGTTCTTCCCTTCCATATGAAATGTGGGCAAAAATAGAATTATAAACGGATTTAAATGAAAATTCGCTTCTTAGTAAAATTGAGGTCGCTAAATTCAATTTGTTTTTGGATAACTTTCATACTTTCACTGTAAATGCAAATTGAAGTTGAAAATTTTGGTTCTTGTAGCTTATATAGTTCGTTGTATTTTCAACAGTGAGGTGTCAAATGACAGGGCTTGGCCTGTAGATGACGGGTTACCACCGGTTACAAATTTTATTAAAATTATTTAATAAGTTAAATGAATTAGTTATTGCAATAGGGTATCAATTGAAATGGGTTTGAAAATGCTTTACTTCTAAGCGACACGTAGAAGGGTTGCCCCATTTAAAAAAAATTAAATTCACTTTAATTAAGGGAATAAGGTAACTGAAATATGTGTATAAATATAAGTATCAGACAAATGAAAAAATTGGACAGATTCAGCAAGAAATAAGTGAAGAGTGAAAACATTCCTGATTGAATTTAAGAGTCCAGTAATTTAAAAGGAATGTAATCAGAACAAATCACTGATTGGCAATGTATGCATTTGTAATAAAATAACAAATACCATGGCGTAAACCTATGGTTTGACGTAATTAATATTTCAGTTTAACTAAATTCGACTTTACAAACAGGTGGCAACACTCTTCGTAATATTTTCAGCTTTTCGAGTTTTGCCCACTTAGGCGGCACTGTGCGGGGCCCGGATTTTTTCCAAAAATTAAATTGGAAGATAAACAATATTTTGCTTAGTTGATAAATTTGTTTATTAGTATTCACCTACCTATTATAAATTCTAATTAATGTGAAAGCTTTTTTACCTACACATGCAAATGTTGTAACACCATTCCAAGTCACTAGATGTTTGATGGATCTTTCTTTTTATTATCTGTTATTGTTGAAACTTTACTCCTACAATAATTACTTCACTGTGTTTTCCAAAATGAAATCAGTTTTTTTTGTACTGGATACCAATTTCAAAAATACCGGGTTTTAGGACCGGTTTTTAGAACCGATTACCAATTTTTATTTTATTATAATTATTTCAAGAATAAAGTTCCTTTTTTGTAAATGTTACCAATTTCTAAAAATCCGAATTTTTAATGCCGGTTTCCGATTTCGTAAAAAAGCGGAATAGTCCAGCCCATTTTTTAAATGTATAATGAGTGAAAACGAATTTCACAATTTATTAAACAAATATTGTTATGGTTTGTTCATATTAAATCACTAAAAATTGGTTCTTCGCCACTCCCACTGTTGATGGGTTCTTTGAATCTTAAAAATCATTCAACGATTGTCTTCATAACATTGTTCATATTATTAAGAAAAGTGTTTGAAAAATAATTTGAATCGTTTAATAACCACACCCACTTCCCATAAAATAGTATTTAAAAAAAGTGCAAAACTCAGATATTTAATTACTGAACTGATATAAAGGGAAATCTGTATGCGAAATATGACTTTCTTAAATTTAACAAGTAAAGAGAGAGCTGTCTTCGGCTATGCCAAAGCCTTCATACCTTCCATGAAAATAAAAAAATCCGTATTTTATCTATTACTGAATTTCAGTGTAAAAATATTCAATATGATAATACTATTGGATTGTATTTATAAATAAATATTTACGCGACTTATAACACCTAGTGCCTAAGGTATGCCCCAAGCAACTGGTACCAAACCGGATATAAAACACATGTGTATTTATATACAGGCATGTGCAAAGCTGTATGTGCAAAAATTTCATTTAAGAAATTATTTAGGCACATGCACTTCTCAACTGCTGCAAAACAAAACCTGGCACCACAAATCATGCTCAACAATCCCGCTTGATGCATCACAACTCCTCCGGAGTTGTCTCACGGCGCTCTCAGCATATAGAGGTGGTACAAAAGTTATCATTCCAGAGTTTTTAAACGGTAAAGCCACAGCGCTAGAAGCCGTAGGGACTCTGCATGACTTCCAACCAGTGCACGGACATCGAAAAAATTAATATTGGTAGAGTTTACTTACAAAAAATGGTAGAAGTTGGTAGGTTTTTTAAAAGAAACAGTAGCAGGTAGTTTTTACTCAAATAAAAGATGGTGTTACCAGAGCAGCTGGATTTTTGCCTTGGCGGCTCTTAATGCAAAATGATGTATTTGATGTAATTCTTACTGACATTGTGCGTAAAATATTTTTGTGTAATTTTTGTTTCCGTACTCCTGCTATTACCTAATATGGGATAAATTGTACTTTTATATAAAACAACAAAAACGTATTTCACGCGAAAATTTCAACAAAAAACATATCCGTTATCGAATGAAATAAAATTAGAGCTGGTTTTTCTCCTGTTCAATTTGAATTGAAAAAGCCGAATGCTCAAAAAGAAATTTCTTATAAAATTTGATTCGATCACGGATGCCCTGATTCGTGCCCTGTATTAATTTAATAGGGGGAAATACTCAAATAATTATTCTCCGTCAAAGTTACCTTTTAATTTTAATTTAAGGTGTATTTAGTGTTCGTGCGATACCACCATGTACTCGATGCCTGTACTCATTAAAAGTGTCGAAGAGAATACTCGATGCTACTCAAAGTATCGCTAGGGAATACTCGATTCTACTTGTATTCGAAAGTACTCAGACGGGAAATTTTACTTCAATGACCGTTAACATATAGTGGAGGAAGGCTTATGAAGTGCGGAAAATTACCTTTCATATCCTCCTCTTTTGAAACGGGGTAACTTGAAAGTGCTAAAACAGGAGGCCTTACGTAATGAGAAAGCTAATCGTTTACTTGTGTTTGATTCTTCTGTTTCAAAACGAATTCTAGACGACGCTTTCGAAAGCCTTATGTTGGCCTCATATCCTGTTCTAATTCGATACAACTTTTCTTCTCCATTTTCGTGCGCGCTTTTGGTTTTCAATCTAGTAAAATTGAGTGGTTCCCATCTTGAATGTTTTTTTTTGTAAACTAAACCTATTTTCAGTAGATTTTTCCAAATTTAGCAAATTTGTACTCAACACCCATGAAGTACTTGTACACGCTTATCGAAGTACAAAAAGTACTCAGTACTTGGTAGAGGTACTCGAGTGTATACTTCTAAGTACTGATATCGGAACATCACTAGGCGTGTTCGATGACAAAATATGTATGTGCATTTGCTTTCTTTCCGTAAAATACTGGTAGATTTTTAGCTTTTGTTGGTAAAAATAGTAGAAAATATAATATAGCTAAAAAGGAGAAATTCATAGTTCTCAAGTTGATATCCAACATCATTCTCCAACTCAACTCTAACCGACGCGCAGATACGTAAAGAGTGACAGAGAAACGAATTTTTAATCATCAAGTGAAAAACTAAAGCTATATAAAGAGGGAAATTTCCAACAAAAAGTAAATAATTTTCAATGTATCCTCAAATAATCTTGAAAGAAAATAAAACGCGAAGTGAATCAAGTGGCAAAATTACTGTCGGACTGTATACTGTGAAGTGAATTATTGTAATACAAATACACATAATACAAAAGGAGTATTAAATGAAAAATTGATACTTAGTAAAGTACTGCAAAATTCAACAATTTCTGTAAATATGTCGTTTTCAAAAAATTTCATGCATTGCTAAGTCATGTCGGCACAAACAAGGTGTTGTGCTATGTCATTCCATCTCAAACATACTAAGGGGTATTCTCCAAATCTTGCAAAGCCATTGCACGTAGCACGGATTGCATGGATTGCATAACTTGCAAACACACAACAACAAAATACATGGGAAAGAACATTCCCTATCGCCGCAACGTCGAAACCCATGTATATATTTTGCAAAATAGCATAGCAAGATAAATGCGACCTTGTGCTAGTTGATTTGTTGTTGGAATTGCTTCATAATTTTCTCATTCTGCTCACTTCATTTTTTTTTTGCTATCTATTGTTATTGTATTTGATACATAATTTCGCTGCTTGCTAGCCATGCATGATACCACTTTGTAATGGGGTGCTCTCATTCTCTTCGAAATTTGGAATAGTATTTTTGCATTTCGTGCATCGTGCAAGACTTCGAGAGT